ATTTGTAGATATATCAATGAAAGCTGACAAAGTTTTAACAAAATTCACAAAAAATATTCGTGAGTGACGCTTAATTAAATTGATTTTCTGACATAACGCCTTAACTTTAGGAAGTAAGTTCTATGTCAAAAGAAAGCAATTTCTATTTTTTATAAGATACCATAACTTTGAAATTTGTCACTATTGTGGTTTCGGAGATATTTAAGAAACCAAAACATCACTCACGAATAATTTTTTTGTTCGTCGGGGCCCAAAAAATTAATATCCAATGTTAAATTATCTACATTATAACAGCATTTCATCTTTGTTTTAATAAAATTTTACGATCTACATTTGGGCAGCATCTTATCTGCACTTTATACGATAAAAATCATCTGCATTATCCCTTTTTTAAAGCAACAGCATTTCATCTGCATTTTAGGGAAAATAAATTTCATCTGCACTTTAGCAGTACTGTCTGCATATTAGGGTAGCTGCATTTTAGGGATTTCTAGATTGAGGTATCTATATTAGCTTTTTTTTTTTTAAATTAAACTTTTTATTTATTTACATTTAAATTTAAGTATGTACAAAGTTTCAATACATTTTGTTGCTTTTTGTTTTTTAAGGTTTCAGGCATTCAATTTGCCTTTTGTCTCTTAACTTTCTTTTGTATTTCATTTGATTTATTCGGTGTTTTGAGATGCAAGACGGCTGTTGAAGTTCGCTTGCAACTTTCCAACGTAGTCTTCGATGGACGGTATTTTCGCTTCTGTATGAAGATCGGTGATCCTTTCATATCTTGTTTTATTGAGAACAATTCTCAAGAATTTGTTTTGCAGTACTTGAAGTTTTTGAAGGTGGGTTTTTGCCATGCTTCCAAATGCTGGACAACCATATGTGAATATTGGTCTGATGGCTAGCTTGTAGATGAGAAGTTTGTTTCGTACGTCGAGTTGTGAGTTCCTGCTGATGAGCGGATAAAGCTGTCTTAATGCGGTGTGAGCCCTATTGGTCACATACTCCACATGCGGCTTTAATGTCACTCTCTTGTCGATCACCATTCCCAGATATTTAGCTTCTGTTTCCCATTTGATGTTTTCATTGAGAAATTTGATGTTATTTCCTGGTAGTTGCCTGGAGTGCCTGTTTGTGATGAATAAGGCTTGAGTCTTCTGTTTGTTGAGGTTGATCTTCCATTTGTTCATGTATTGTTGAACTTTTCTTCCTGTGTGCTGTAGATGTGTCACAATATCGGCCGAGTTCTCTGCAGAATGATACAGTGCTGTATCATCTGCGAAAAGACCGATGTTGTTGGTTGTCTCTCTTACAACATCATACGTGAAGATGTTGTAGAGAGTTGGTGAAAGCACTGCTCCTTGTGGCACTCCGAATTTGATTACCTTGATTTCTGAGAACTGACCTTTAATAAAAACTGCGAAAGATCTTTCACTGAGGAAAGATCTTACAGTTTTTATAAGTGGCAGTGGATATATCTATATTAGCATTCCTTATCATTTATAATACCTAGATGTGTTTAAAAATGCAATTAAAAGCATTTTTGGTTTTGATCATAGTAGGCTGTTTAAAAAAAATATCGATTTTATATCTATATTAGCATTCTTTATCATTTTTAATACCTAGATATGTTTTAAAATGCAATTCAAAACATTTTTGGTTTCGATCATAGTAGGCTATTTTCACCAAAAAATATCGATTTTATATCAATATTAGCATTCTTTATCATTTATAATACCTAGATGTGTTTAAAAATGCAATTTAAAGCATTCTTAGTTTTGATCATAGAAGGCTATTTTCAAAAAAATTATATCGATTTTTTATCTATATTAGCATTCTTTATCATTTATAATACCTAGATATGTTTTAAAATGCAATTTAAAGCATTTTTGGTTTCGATCATAGTAGGCTATTTTCACCAAAAAATATCGATTTTATATCAATATTAGCATTCTTTATCATTTATAATACCTAGATGTGTTTAAAAATGCAATTTAAAGCATTTTTGGTTTTGATCATAGTAGGCTATTTTTAAAAAAATTATATCGATTTTATATCTATATTAGCATTCTTAATCATTTATAATACCTAGATATGTTTTAAAATGCAATTCAAAGCATTTTTGGTTTCAATCAGAGTAGGCTATTTTCACCAAAAAAATATCGATTTTATATCTATATTAGCATTCTTTATCATTTATAATACCTAGATGTGTTTAAAAATGCAATTTAAAGCATTTTTGGTTTTGATCATAGTAGGCTATTTTTAAAAAAATTATATCGATTTTATATCTATATTAGCATTCCTTATCATTTATAATACCTAGATATGTTTTAAAATGCAATTCAAAACATTTTTGGTTTCGATCATAGTAGGCTATTTTCACCAAAAAATATCGATTTTATATCTATATTAGCATTCTTTATCATTTATAATAGCTAGATGTGTTTAAAAATGCAATTTAAAGCATTTTTGGTTTTGATCATAGTAGGCTATTTTTAAAAAAATTATATCGATTTTATATCTATATTAGCATTCTTTATCATTTATAATACCTAGATATGTTTTAAAATGCAATTCAAAACATTTTTGGTTTCGATCATAGTAGGCTATTTTTAAAAAAAAATATCGATTTTATATCAATATTAGCATTCTTTATCATTTATAATACCTAGATGTGTTTAAAAATGCAATTTAAAGCATTTTTGGTTTCGATCATAGTAGGCTATTTTTAAAAAAATTATATCGATTTTATATCTATATTAGCATTCTTAATCATTTAAAACACCTAGATGTGTTTAAAAATGCAATTTAAAGCATTTTTGGTTTTGATCATAGTAGGCTATTTTTAAAAAAATTATATCGATTTTATATCTATATTAGCATTCCTTATCATTTATAATACCTAGATGTGTTTAAAAATGCAATTAAAAGCATTTTTGGTTTTGATCATAGTAGGCTATTTTCACCAAAAGATATCGATTTTATATCTATATTAGCATTCTTTATCATTTATAATACATTTATTAATATTGTATTTTTGGAAAGCTTAAATTTGGTATAAATGCGCCCACGTTTTAAGATGTAGAACTATACGATATGGTCGATGTGAATAAATTTGCAATTCATGTATGGTCATGACTTTAGTATGAAACTTTCAAATCAATCTCAATTTTCAAACCAATGTCCTTTGAACCCAATAAAAAAGTTATTTATTATTTTTAGTTTTAAAAAATTATTTAAAGTATCTATCGATCAGCTGTGCTATCGCACAGCAAAAGTTTGTAAACTAGAATTTAACCATAGAAAGTCGTACAACGTATTTTTTGTGATTAAAACTTACAACGGCTTTTTGAAATTTATAATAATTGAAAGTTGTACATATGTTATGTAAAAATAAGCTAAGCCGTAAAGAGGAGAAAATTAATTTAATTGTACTACAATTAAGCATTTTTGAGTTTCCAAAACGCTTGCATATTGTATTGTCACCGGAAAAATAAGTGCATGCAAAATTTCAGCTCGGTTGGAGCAGTAGAAGAGGTCAAAAAATCGATTACAAGATTTGACCTCGACAGATAAACAGAAAGATAAACAGACAGATAAGAAAGCAAGTTAAGAAAAACGTGGTAAAAAATTATATCGATTTTATATCTATATTAGCATTCTTTATCATTTATAATACCTAGATATGTTTTAAAATGCAATTCAAAGCAAAAAAAATTATATCGATTTTATATCTATATAGCATTCTTTATCATTTATTATAATACCTAGATATGTTTTAAAATGCAATTTAAAGCATTTTTGGTTTTGATCATAGTAGGCTATTTTCAAAAAAATATCGATTTTATATCTTTATTAGCATTCTTATCATTTATAATACCTAGATATGTTTTATGATGCAATTTAAAGCATTTTTGGTTTCGATCATAGTAGGCTGTTTAAAAAAAATATCTATTTTATATCTATATTAGCATTCTTTATCATTTTTAATACCTAGATATGTTTTAAAATGCAATTCAAAACATTTTTGGTTTCGATCATAGTAGGCTATTTTCACCAAAAAATATCGATTTTATATCAATATTAGCATTCTTTATCATTTATAATACCTAGATGTGTTTAAAAATGCAATTTAAAGCATTTTTAGTTTTGATCATAGAAGGCTATTTTCAAAAAAATTATATCGATTTTTTATCTATATTAGCATTCTTTATCATTTAAAACACCTAGATGTGTTTAAAAATGCAATTTAAAGCATTTTTGGTTTTGATCATAGTAGGCTATTTTTAAAAAAATTATATCGATTTTATATCTATATTAGCATTCCTTATCATTTATAATACCTAGATGTGTTTAAATAAAATACTTTATAAAAAAAAACTTTTTAAAAAAACTACGTTTTTCGCGTAGACTAAAAAGTAGAAAATAACTTTTATTCTTGGTTGTAAAGAATTTGGTTTTAAATTTTCAGATTATATTTAATAAATTTTTATATCCTAGTCAATATTGTTCACAAAGTTTCGAATAAGTGCACTTTGATCTTATCGTATAACTCAACAACTTAAAAACGTGGGCGCATTAATTTAAGTTTATCATAAAGTATTGATTTCACATAAACTTATTTCTCCTCTTATAATGCGCCCACGTTTTTAAGTTGTTGAGTTATACGATAAGATCAAAGTGCACTTATTCGAAACTTTGTGAACAATATTGACTAGGATATAAAAATTTATTAAATATAATCTGAAAATTTAAAACCAAATTCTTTACAACCAAGAATAAAAGTTATTTTCTACTTTTTAGTCTACGCGAAAAACGTAGTTTTTTTAAAAAGTTTTTTTTTATAAAGTATTTTATTTTCTACTTTTTAGTCTTATTCTAATGAAATAGAGAAATAAAGATTATAGGGGGTTTATAGGTTACAGGTGTGTTGAACTCCACTTCGTTGCACTTCGTTACGTTCAACTGTTTATAGATTAGAGTAGGTTTATAGGTTACAGGTGTGTTGAACTTCACTTCGTTGCACTTCGTTACGTTCAACTGTTTATAGATTACAGTAGGTTTATAGGTTACAGGTGTGTTGAACTTCACTTCGTTGCACTTCGTTACGTTCAACTGTTTATAGATTACAGTAGGTTCATAGGTTACAGGTGTGTTGAACTTCACTTCGTTGCACTTCGTTACGTTCAACTGTTTATAGATTACAGTAGGTTCATAGGTTACAGGTGTGTTGAACTTCACTTCGTTGCACTTCGTTACGTTCAACTGTTTATAGATTACAGTAGGTTCATAGGTTACAGGTGTGTTGAACTTCACTTCGTTGCACTTCGTTACGTTCAACTGTTTATAGATTACAGTAGGTTCATAGGTTACAGGTGTGTTGAACTTCACTTCGTTGCACTTCGTTACGTTCAACTGTTTATAGATTACAGTAGGTTCATAGGTTACAGGTGTGTTGAACTTCACTTCGTTGCACTTCGTTACGTTCAACTGTTTATAGATTACAGTAGGTTCATAGGTTACAGGTGTGTTGAACTTCACTTCGTTGCACTTCGTTACGTTCAACTGTTTATAGATTACAGTAGGTTCATAGGTTACAGGTGTGTTGAACTCCACTCCGTTTCACTCCGTTACGTTCAACTGCTTATAGATTACAGTAGGTTTATAGGTTACAGGTGTGTTGAACTCCACTTCGTTGCACTTCGTAACGTTCAACTGTTTATAGATTACAGTAGGTTCATAGGTTACAAGTGTGTTGAACTTCACTTCTTTGCACTTCGTTACGTTCAACTGTTTATAGATTACAGTAGGTTCATAGGCTACAGGTGTGTTGAACTCCACTCCGTTTCACTCCGTTACGTTCAACTGTTTATAAATTACCAGTTTTCAATGGGAAATTAGTAACGACTTTCAAAATTTTTTCATTCGTTTTATAAAATTTAATTTTTTTAAAGCATTCATTAGTGAAGTACATTAAAAATCACTCGTAAAGATTTTGTGTTTATCTGTACCATTTCTACTTCATAACGTGTGGATTCTTAACATAAAGATGCAAATTACATCACATATGTAACGTATTTATAACGGATTTTCAAATTTAAATTCAATGAGTATCATTTATATGTTATGCAAAAATACGTCAAGCCGTTAATAAAATGAAAAGTCAATTTAATTAAGTTGGTGAAGTGTTATAAATAATGCAATACATTTAAAATAGCATAAATTTATGCTCAAACTATGTGTGGTAAATGCATATCTCATATATATAGTTATTTTGCATTAATTCGTAACGTATTTATTGCTTAACGGTTTTTTTGAAAATTCAAATTTTCACTTACGAATATTCATGAAAAAATTACATGTCAATTTTTTTGTCTTACCAGAATATCTTTAGCTGCTCAAATTTATGGTATAATTAATAATTAGTAATAATTATTAAACTATAATGAATCATATAAATGACTTTTGAGCATTTCAAGTATAATATTTTAAACAAATCAAAATTTCATATCATTGACGTTGGATTTTTTCCCATATAAAAAAGTTTTACATAAATTGTACTATAATTAAGCATTTTTGTGGTTCCAAAGTGTTAAAATATTGTATTGTCACCGGGAATACGTGTGAATGAAAAATTTGAGCTCGATTGGAGCAGGTGAAGTGGTCGAAAAATCGATTACAAGATTTGCCCTCGACAATCAATCAAACAGATAAGAAAGCAAGTTAAGAAAAACGTGGTAAAAAATTATATCGATTTTATATCTATATAGCATTCTTTATCATTTATAATACCTAGATATGTTTTAAAATGCAATTCAAAGCATTTTTGGTTTCAATCATAGTAGGCTATTTTTTAAAAAATTATATTGATTTTATATCTATATTAGCATTCTTTATCATTTATAATACCTAGATGTGTTTAAAAATGCAATTTAAAGCATTTTTGGTTTTGATCATAGTAGGCTATTTTTATAAAAATTATATCGATTTTATATCTATATTAGCATTCTTTATCATTTTTAATACCTAGATATGTTTTAAAATGCAATTCAAAACATTTTTGGTTTCGATCATAGTAGGCTATTTTCACCAAAAAATATCGATTTTATATCAATATTAGCATTCTTTATCTTTATCATTTATAATACCTAGATGTGTTTAAAAATGCAATTTAAAGCATTTTTGGTTTCGATCATAGTAGGCTATTTTTAAAAAAATTATATCGATTTTATATCTATATTAGCATTCTTAATCATTTAAAACACCTAGATGTGTTTAAAAATGCAATTTAAAGCATTTTTGGTTTTGATCATAGTAGGCTATTTTAAAAAAAATTATATCGATTTTATATCTATATTAGCATTCCTTATCATTTATAATACCTAGATGTGTTTAAAAATGCAATTAAAAGCATTTTTGGTTTTGATCATAGTAGGCTATTTTTAAAAAAATTATATCGATTTTATATCTTTATTAGCATTCTTTATCATTTATAATACCTAGATATGTTTTAAAATGCAATTCAAAGCATTTTTGGTTTCAATCAGAGTAGGCTATTTTCACCAAAAAATATCGATTTTATATCAATATTAGCATTCTTTATCATTTATAATACCTAGATGTGTTTAAAAATGCAATTTAAAGCATTTTTGGTTTTGATCATAGTAGGCTATTTTTAAAAAAATTATATCGATTTTATATCTTTATTAGCATTCTTTATCATTTATAATACCTAGATATGTTTTAAAATGCAATTCAAAGCATTTTTGGTTTCAATCAGAGTAGGCTATTTTCACCAAAAAATATCGATTTTATATCAATATTAGCATTCTTTATCATTTATAATACCTAGATGTGTTTAAAAATGCAATTTAAAGCATTTTTGGTTTTGATCATAGTAGGCTATTTTTAAAAAAATTATATCGATTTTATATCTTTATTAGCATTCTTTATCATTTATAATACCTAGATATGTTTTAAAATGCAATTCAAAGCATTTTTGGTTTCAATCAGAGTAGGCTATTTTCACCAAAAAAATATCGATTTTATATCTATATTAGCATTCTTTATCATTTATAATACCTAGATGTGTTTAAAAATGCAATTTAAAGCATTTTTGGTTTTGATCATAGTAGGCTATTTTTAAAAAAATTATATCGATTTTATATCTTTATTAGCATTCTTTATCATTTATAATACCTAGATATGTTTTATAATGCAATTTAAAGCATTTTTGGTTTCGATCATAGTAGGCTATTTTCACCAAAAAATATCGATTTTATATCAATATTAGCATTCTTTATCATTTATAATACCTAGATGTGTTTAAAAATGCAATTTAAAGCATTTTTGGTTTTGATCATAGTAGGCTATTTTTAAAAAAATTATATCGATTTTATATCTTTATTAGCATTCTTTATCATTTATAATACCTAGATATATTTTAAAATGCAATTCAAAGCATTTTTGGTTTCAATCAGAGTAGGCTATTTTCACCAAAAAAATATCGATTTTATATCTATATTAGCATTCTTTATCATTTATAATACCTAGATGTGTTTAAAAATGCAATTTAAAGCATTTTTGGTTTTGATCATAGTAGGCTATTTTTAAGAAAATTATATCGATTTTATATCTTTATTAGCATTCTTTATCATTTATAATACCTAGATATGTTTTAAAATGCAATTCAAAGCATTTTTGGTTTCAATCAGAGTAGGCTATTTTCACCAAAAAAATATCGATTTTATATCTATATTAGCATTCTTTATCATTTATAATACCTAGATGTGTTTAAAAATGCAATTTAAAGCATTTTTGGTTTTGATCATAGTAGGCTATTTTTAAAAAAATTATATCGATTTTATATCTATATTAGCATTCTTTATCATTTATAATACCTAGATATGTTTTAAAATGCAATTCAAAACATTTTTGGTTTCGATCATAGTAGGCTATTTTCACCAAAAAATATCGATTTTATATCTATATTAGCATTCTTTATCATTTATAATAGCTAGATGTGTTTAAAAATGCAATTTAAAGCATTTTTGGTTTTGATCATAGGAGGCTATTTTTAAAAAAATTATATCGATTTTATATCTATATTAGCATTCTTTATCATTTATAATACCTAGATGTGTTTAAAAATGCAATTAAAAGCATTTTTGGTTTTGATCATAGTAGGCTATTTTTAAAAAAAATTATATCGATTTTATATCTATATAGCATTCTTTGTCATTTATAATACCTAAATATGTTTTAAAATGCAATTTAAAACATTTTTGGTTTCGATCATAGTAGGCTATTTTCACCAAAAAATATCGATTTTATATCTATATTAGCATTCTTTATCATTTATAATACATCTATTAATATTGTATTTTTGGAAAGCTTAAATTTGGTATAAATGCGCCCATGTTTTAAGATGTAGAACTATACGATATGGTCGATGTGAATAAATTTACAATTCATGTATGGTCATGACTTTAGTATGAAACTTTCAAATCAATCTCAATTTTCAAACCAATGTCCTTTGAACCCAATAAAAAAGTTATTTTCTACTTTTTAGTCCAGGGCGATTCCATGAGTGAATTTTTTTTTCTCAACTCAATTTTTTGTAAATATTTCCTTAATTAACTTCATTTAACGCCATATTTAAGATTTATTTTATTTATTATTATGGTATTTATGTATTTTAGTGCATAATCTTTTAGTTAAATCTGTCTGACAAAAGATATTTTAAAAAAACCAAACTTAATCGGTCAACTTTACAGAAAATTGATTTTTAAATTTTTATCAATATTTCTTTGAATATCCATTGTTGTGTTACAAATCTATGATAAACACACGTGAAATCGCCTGTGCTTTATAACAATATCTTATTTGTATTTCTTACTACTGTAATTAAGGAGAAAATTGGGGAAAACACCACTTAATCGGTCAACTTTCAACCGATTATTGCAAAACATATTACATATTTTTGTCAAAATGCAGCATAATTAAGACGATTAAATGCTAATAATACATGAATTGATGAATAATAAGTCTTATTTAGTGAAAAGATATGTTGAAATATGTATATTTAAGCAGAAAAAGCTAAAACAGTTTTTGAACCAAAAATTTTCAGTTCCATTTACCCATGGAATCGCCCTCCACGGGTAAAAACGTGGTTTTTTAAAAAGTTTTTTTTATAAAGTATTTATTTTCTACTTTTTAGTTTTAAAAAATTATTTAAAGTATCTATCGATCAGCTGTGCTATCGCACAGCATAAGTTTGTAAACTAGAATTTAACCATAGAAAGTCGTACAACGTATTTTTTGTGATTAAAACTTACAACGGCTTTTTGAAATTTATAATAATTGAAAGTTGTACATATGTTATGTAAAAATAAGCTAAGCCTTAAAGAGGAGAAAATTAATTTAATTGTACTATAATTAAGCATTTTTGAGTTTCCGAAACGCTTGAATATTGTATTGTCACCGGAAAAATAAGTGCATGCAAAATTTCAGCTCGATTGGAGTAGTAGAAGAGGTCGAAAAATCGATTACAAGATTTGACCTCGACAGATAAACAGAAAGATAAACAGACAGATAAGAAAGCAAGTTAAGAAAAACGTGGTAAAATGCAATTAAAAGCATTTTTGGTTTTGATCATAGTAGGCTATTTTTAAAAAAATTATATCGATTTTATATCTATATAGCATTCTTTGTCATTTATAATACCTAAATATGTTTTAAAATGCAATTTAAAACATTTTTGGTTTGGATCATAGTAGGCTTTT